TCATTTTCCCCCTTATATTGGTCAATGTGGAAACTGAGGCAGGGTCCCTTGACACACTACTCCCTAGCACTCTGCCATGACCACATGACTACCTGGCAGCCTCACCTGCAGATACTGAGTTCCCAAGCAGAGCCCCCCTTTTTGTGAGTATGTCTGGTACTGGAGACTGGACCCAGGGCCTGCACACTGAACTACATCTCTTGCCTTTTTCATTTGTTAATTTGAAACAGGGTCTCCCTAAATTGTCCATCTGGGCTTGGACTTGTGATCCTCTCAGAGCGCTGGGATTACAGGTGTGTGCTACTGCACCCCACTAGGGCCCCTCCTAAAGCCTGACGTTCTTTCTCCAGGGTCAAGTCCAAAGTAAGCCATTGAGAAGGCACTGAATGTTTGGCGCTCGAAGGGAGCTGGCCATGAATCCACAACAGACTCTCTGCCTCTGGTCTCCTGGGCCCAGTCAGGGTGAAGGAGAACTTAAGATTCTGGACCCTGGGTGCACTGCATGCTTTCTAGAAAAAGAGATCCCTGCCTCTCAGCCCTCATTCCTGCCTAGTCAAATAGGCCTGGCCAACTGGAGAGCTGGCAGGCACTCGGCTTGGGCTTTGGACAAGGAAAGCTTCTCTTAATTAGGAAATTAACTTTACTCAACCTGGATTGATCTGCGGTCAGCACCCCGCATGGAGACCTGACAGGAACAGGCAGGAAGTAAGCAAGGCTTTTTGGTTTCCCTCTTCTCCATGCATCCTACTCCCGGCCACACGGCAGAGGTGCTAGCAGGTGATACCCAGGATGAATTCGGTCCTAGGCGAGCAGGCCTGCGGGCAGCAGCAGCCACAGCTCTCCCATGGCCTGATCAGCAGGAGGACCCATCCAACCGGTCCTGCAGGAGCCTCCTTGCAAAAGCCTGGTGCTCAGCCTCCTCCTCCAGTCCCCAGGGCTCCCTCCTAATCCCTCTTGCTGCTGGGTGCTTTGTCCATTTCTCCATCTCTCTTCTAGGAGGTGTCCCTGGCTCTGTGCCCAGGGGACATCTGAAGGCTACGCCTCACGCCATCTACTCCAGAGAGGGGGTCACTGGGGGCTCTCACACTCACTGCCCAGCCAGACACCTTGGGAAATGAGTCACCTACATGCTACCTTCCTTCGAGCCCATGCCTGCTCCTCCTGGACGCTGACCAATATTTCCCTGACCCAGTCCTTCGGCTTCACCACCCCTCAGCCTTAGGCACAATCAGGCCCCAGACTCTGAGGCCAGGGGCAAGGAACTGACGGAGGCTGGGGGAGAAAAGCTCTGTGGTGGAAAAATCTTCGGGCGTCTCTGCTCACCAACCTAAGAAAGGAAACAGGAGCCCGCCTATTGTACCCCTCTCCTCCTTCAAGTGGGGAACTCAGGGCCTACAGTGAAACACTCACTGACAGCACAAGAGCAACCTGAGTGAAGCCCACAGAGTAAGGGACCCGGACAACCACAGAGCCAGGCAGGGGCAAGGCACACAGGCTTCCCACCAACAGCTGCTCTTTCTGCCAACAGCTTCTAGGTCTCAGGAATCAACTGTGGGAGGGTGAAGAGGTGGACTTGGCCTTAGGCCTCGGTTGCACTGAAAACAGGGTGGCCTGTGCTAGCTTCACAGATGTACCCAACTCAGGTTGCGGAAGATCACTGTGGGGGAAAGAACAGCTAGGGAAGTGGGTGTGGTGGCTCATGCCTATAATGCCAGCACTCGAGAAGGCTAAGACCGAAGGACTGCAAATTCAAGCCCAGCCTGAGAAACTTAGTAACTTAGTGAGACCCTGTCTCCAAATTATTTCAGAAAAAAGATAAACAGCTGGGGATGAAGCTCCGGGTGAAGGCCCTGGATTCAATCCCCAGTAGCACCAAAAAAATAAATAACATAAAAATAAAAAAGGAAAAGCTGGCAAGATTTTTATGCATGTCCTTGAAGAAAATAGGGTGCAATTTCCAAGTTAGTCAGCTTCCTGAGACTACAGAGCTGCCACTTTTAAAAAACAGGTCAAGTTCGATCCCTGGTGCCAAAAAAACAAAACAATAAAAACAAAAATAAAAAACAGGCCAAGAAGCCACACATGCTCACCTTTTATCACCCCAAAGAGCACCAAGACGGGGCCTGGAAAGAAAGCTTAGTAGAAAGAGGCGGGGTGGGAGCGGAGGGGACACGGGACAGGGCTGCAAGTCAGCAACAGACTTCGAGTCTGTGCCCAGCGGGTGGGGCGAAGGGAAGAGGAGCTGGGCTGACCCAGGGCCAACTGGTGCGGACGCCTCTAGGGGATTCCACCCAGTACGCTACTTCACCTTCATAAAGTCCCGGAAATCTCCAGGAAGCCTCAGTGGGGTGGAGGAATTCCGCCGCAGACCGCAGGCAGCGCCTGAGCCCCAGTCTGGGTCCAAAGCTTAAGCTCCCTCCACTGACCCAGTGCTGAGGGGGCACAACAGGGCCCTCCCCAGCCCGGAACCTTCGCCACCCCTCTGAGCCCCACATTTGCTCTCCCCTCCTAATGCCCTTGTGGGACTCGAGTCAGTCTAGCAACGTGATGGTTAGAAGCCAACCAGCGTCCGTCCTCTTGAGACACCTTCAGTGCTGCCACCCGTAGGAGGTGGTCCAGCAACGGGCTGACTTCCTTCACCTGGGGAAGTCACAAATTCCCCTCTTCCTGACCCCTCACCCCACTTGTCGCAAATAAGCGTTTCCTGGCTGGGAAAATGTTTCAACGCCCCGAGCAGCTGAGACAATTCAATTATGAAATTTGCTACATTAGATGAAAACCAGCCGCACAATCAGCCAATTCATTTGCGCCTGACCACTCTGCTGCTTGTGCCAGCTCTGCCCTCCCCAAAACCGACGCCCACCAGGCCACACCCACATTGCTGGTTGGTACAGAAGGACTATGGTGTCTTGGCTTCCGCAGGTGGGCTCTCCCAGGGCTCTCTGGGAAGAGGCTGCACTCAGAAGCTATCCAGGCTCCTGCAAATGTGGACAGGCGGTGCAGGCTGGACCACCACAGCTGAGCAAACTTCCCTGCCACCTGTCCTGGACTTCACCTGTGCCTGGAGCCGCCATCCACCTGAATGAACCCTGGAGGGGTTCGGGTGTTAGGAGGAAAGCCGGATGCCTGTGGCTGGGGAACTGGGGCTGTCCTGTGCCTTTCCCAACTTCTCTTAGTCCAGGGGCTTTCGCCAACTGTCCCCTCCGTGTCCCTTCAGGTCCTCCTGCTGACTGTATCACTGGGGCTCTCCACACACTCACGTGAGGGCTCCGCATCCCCCACCCCAACAACCCTGTCTAGGAGATCCCTGAATGCAGGGTCCCTCGCCAAAGTCAGCTCAAACAGTGAATGCGTTAACCAGCTTAATGTGCCTGAATGACTACAACCGCCCACCAAGTAAGTGACTCCTCACCCTAAGCTGTCCGCCTCCCTCTACCTGACAAGGGAAGAACGCAGCCTGCTCATTTCTCCTTCCTTCCTGCCCTCCTCAGGTTTAAAATTCCATTAAGGGCCACTGGGCTGCAGACACTGCCGCCAATGCGGAGCGTGCAACGGCCCGCAGCTCTTCTCTCAGCACCACACGCATAAATCCAGCTGCAGCCCACAACTCAGGATGAAGGATTCTTCCATTTCTACTTTTCCTTTTAGCAATCTCCCTGGAGTCACTTTGCGACAAATGACTCAAAGGTGAAGTGACTGCGGGGGCTGGGAGAAGGCTGTCAGCCTCCAGGCACAGCTGGTGAACTCAAAGGCGGGGGTGGGGGAGTTGGGGGGTGGAGCCCAGTGTCCCACGCCTTCCTGGCCCCCCAAATGCAAGCCATCACCAATGCCCCCAACGCCCCCGGAAACCCCAGCAGCACACCTAGTGAGCATTGCTTCTGTGTTGGAACCAACCAGGTCCTTGTGCCCCCGGCAACTTCCCCTCTTCCTTGTCTCTCGCCAGGTCAGAGGGAAACCTAGCACACACCTGGCACACTTTGCCCTGACTTGCCACAGCCTGGTGAGTCTTGCCGGGGGCAAGGCTCAGCAGGAACCAGGGGCGTCCAGATTAAACCCAGAGGGGCCTGGGGTCCACCCCATGCCCCAGTTCCTCTGGTCAGATCTCTATACAAACTCTTCCGTGCTCCAACACTCCGGTAGCGCATGCCTGCAAGGTCAGCACTCTGGAAGGCTGAGGCAAGAGGATCATAACATCAAGCCCAGTTTGGGCAACTTATTGAATCCCTGTTTCAAAATAAAGGGCTGGGGATGTAGCTCAATAGGAAGGGCCTCCAGTCCGGGGGAAGGGGCAGAAGGAGGTGGGGGAGACAATGGAAAGGGTCCCTGAAGCAGAGCACAAGAATGTGTCTGGCTGCCCCCGGGAATCCCCCCCGCTCCCCAAAGAAAAAGCTTCTAAAGCAGCGACAAGGGAGAACAGGGGGGCGGGGATGCCAGGGTCTCGGGGCCGGAGCCAGGCAAGACTCGGGGAGGGGAGGGGAGGGCAGCGGAGAGCCAGGCCGGGCCTGCAGGTGGCCGCCACGGGTGGGCAGCGGGTGTGACCCCGGGCGTGCGACCCCTTCTCTCCGACTGCTCGGTGGTCTGGGGGGCGCGGAGCGGCCGGGTGCAGGCGGGGCACAACCGGCCTGGGGCCATGTAGACGTGGCCCCTGCTGAACTCGAAGCCTCGGCGTCCAGGGCGCGGGGACCTCGCTCCTCGCCCAGCCTTCTCTCTCCAGGATCAATAGTAACCTCTTTAAGAGTCCGAGGGCTCAATGAATCAACCGCTCCCAGGGGAGGGGCAGAGCTCCCGCGCGCATCTTCCATTTGCAGAACAATTCATTCGCCGCGCGGGGTTGAGCGCGAAGCCGCCCTCGGCGGGGTCCCCGGTGGGACGGGCGCGACGGCCCCTCCTCGTCCTCGGGCCCCGGCCGCGCCGCGCTCGCTCCCCTTGGCACCCGCGGCCCGCGGCTCTGGTCCCGTCCGGAGGGTGACAAGTCCGCCGGGACCCGGGCGGGCACTCACCTCTCGGGGCGCTGCCGCCCGCCGCGCTCACACAGCCCCGGCCGCCCCGCGAGCTCCCTGCCCGCCGCCGCCGCCGCCGCCGCTCCTCAGCCGGCAAGCCTCAGCTCAGAATCGCTACCGCCACCACACCGCCGAGGTGCGGCCAACAAACTAGTTTCTCCGGCCTTTCCGCCCCGCCTCCCGGCCCGTAGCCTAAGAAGCCAATCAGTGACGGTGCTGCTATGACGGATGGGCTGCCGAACCCGTAGTGGAGCCGCTTGAGAAAGGGGTGGGAGCCCGGGCCAAGCCAGTAGGGCGGGGAGGTGGGGCCGGGAGAAGAAAAAGACTTCGACCAGATTCTTAAAGGGACAGGCGCCTGCCAGTCTCCCGGCTGAGTTTGGGAAAAAAACCGCAAGGGTGTTCTAGAGCTTTCTGAAGGAGGGAGTTTGTAAATTGCACATGCGTCTTACTTTTATCTCCAAAATTACAGGCGTTGCATACCTTTTTGCAGAGTCACAATTTAGTTGTCCCAGTGTTAAGGAAACCCTTTATTCTTATGCCAGGTTTGCTTCAGTGTTTGGAATTTCTGCAGCCACCAATTCCCGTCTGTACTTGGAATTGGGGGGGGGCGTTGCTTCAGCTCTCCTGTTGGTGTCAGCTGGGTTACTGGGTTCATTCGCCCACTCTCAATCAAGTATGGGAAAAGCCTAGGAAAATGGAAAAATTGGAAAAATTGGTTTATTTACAATTTGTCCAAATTAGGGAGCCCAGCTCCTCCCACCCACCTCCACCCCATCCCCCAACGCACAGACCCGCTCCACGTTATAGAAGGGGTAAAACGAAAGCCAGGAAAGGTATGTTTGTAGACGTACCCAAGCTTTGGCCCAGAGGGCTGGAAGTACAGAATCCTCTGGTTTGTCAGGTCTGGGTGAGTTGGGGTGCGAGTGGGGGTTACGGTCAGCATGGGGAAAGTCAGAGAATCAGCCTATTTCCTGTTTTGAGACAGGGTCTCCCTTTGTAGTCCAGGCCGACCTAGAACTCCCTAGGTAACCCAGGCTGGCCTCGACATCTCAGCGATCCTTCTGCCTCAGCCTCCCTCGTGCTGGGATTACAGGCCTGGGTGGCAGCCTATTTCTAAAAAAAAAAAAAGTTTTACTTTTTGAAGAACTATATAGATTACAGTCCCTGTCTGGGTTGAGTCCAGTCCTCGATCCTGAGGGCCTCGAGGTGCTGTGTCATCCGGCTGGCTATTAATTGATTGGTGTGTGGATTCCATCAAAAGGCAGCTAGAGCCCAAGGAAGGCAGGCCGAGGTTTAAACTGAATAGAGCACCATTAAATATGGTGGGGCCCAAGCCAAAGTCAGGAGGTAGCTAACCGCCTGCTGGAAGGGCTTTTTGCTTCAGGCAGTCATGCCACGAACCCTTCTTTTATGACCTCTGTAACTCTTTATTATTTGCTAGGGTTGACTCAGGTGATTCTTTTTGATGCTCTGAATACACATTTGAGATAACGAGATATCTCAAGATAAGGAGAGGTAGAAACCAGACAAGGCTGGGCAATTTAGCAATTTAGTGAGAGACCTTGCCTGAAAATTAAAAAATGAAAAAGGGTTGGTTGGGGATACAGCTCAGTGCAAAAGGCCCTGGGTTCAACCCCCGGTGTGGGGTGTGGATACGGAGGAAGAAAAACGGGGGAATTGAAATAATAATTGTAAAATTGTGTTTTTAAGAAAAACTGCCGCTTTAGGACACAAAGTAACCTGAGGCTAAAATGCCTTTTTTTCCTTCCAGGAAATTTAAAACAATTTTTTTTTCCTAAGGGTCTTGATGATATGATAAGCCTGTAAATTGGGCCCCTGCTTTTTAGCCACTAATTGAGCCTCTTTCTTCCCAGAGATTCCCAGCCTCAAGGAAGCAACATTAGGAGGTGCACAACTTCCCTAAACTTCAGACGCATGCAACTATTTCACCTTCTAACGTAGCCCACCAATCGGGTTTCCTGCACCTCCTAGATGGACCATCTCCAGCATGCTCCAAAACCACATGAAAACCCCCAACTCCTGACAATGTGACTCTCTGGAGGGCTTGTACCCTATTTCCTCTGAGTGTGTACTTCTTTGGCTCTGCCTAATAAAGCCTTCTAAGGACTCTCATCCTAGAATTCTTTCCTGTGGCACAAGTCAGCAAACCTACAGCTTTGCTGACTCTGGTGAGACCCCTTAAACCGTCTGGTGAAAAGGACAGATCCCATGTTGAAGGGGAAATGACAGGCAAGTCGTGTGAGTGTCTAAAAAAACCCCTCTTTTTAGCTATTTGAGCAATAACAGATTTAGAAACTGGTTCTTAGGGTAAATTTATCTCGAGTCCATTGCCAAGTTCATTCTCATCTAATGAAGAGAAAACAGTGGGGGCCCTAATCATTCCAACTTTGACAGTCAAAAGTTACAAAGTTTATAAGGAAGCAGAAAAAGGAAGGAGAGCAAAGCACAGGGGCCTGTACTAAGAAACATAGTAACCAAGTTAGTCAAAGAAAACCAACTTGTCCCAGCTAAACAAGTTTAGCTTTGTCAGAAAAGTGCACTAAGTATATATTTAGAGTCACCTTTCTCCTGCAAACCAATGAATTGCCAGTTTGGTGAGAAATCATATTATTTAATTATGCCAAAACCTAGAATTATAGTTTAGTAATTACACAGCAGTGTATAATTTCTTAGGTACACAGAACTGCAAAAAAAAGTTAAACACAGAGTGCAAGAATTAATGCCCATTTACCAATTAAAAACATATGTTTTTGTAATAGACATTCCTGGTTTAATGAACTGTTTAACAATTTATTATGTTCTGTTACACATTACAGCACTGCAAGTCAGAGTTATGCAAATAAAAGCAAAGTTATCAAGCTGGAGTTTCCTTTATTTCTTTGTTTTGAATATTGTAATGTAAACACTATACAAAATTCCTCATTTACCAACCAATTCATTTAATGACCTAGACATAGAAATGAATTGGTTAAATGAGGAATGTCTGTAAAGCAAGATTGTTTTATTGACTAAGAGTAGCATAGCTACTACATTTCTAGCTACGTGACTATAACCAATACACAAGGTAGCAATTTAGCAAAAACAATTTAGTTTTACAATATATTAAGACAACAATCATGATTGACTGCATTATACCAGGACAATTAGACATTTAAAAATTAAAATATACTGCATACAGTAGTTTATTTAAACAGCATTATGTAATAAAACTATTAAAAGAAAACTGAACACATGGTTAAGTACACCCTAACACTCCAAGAATTAATTTCTCTGAACAAAGTCTAATAAAAGACAATAGAGAAAAACAGTCACAGTTTATCTATTGCAGAGAAGCAAGCAAACATTTTTAGCATTTTTAAAACTGTGAGCATTAGACCACATAAACCAGGGGGCCCCAAATTTTTTGGCACCAGAAACCAGTTACAGAAGACAGTTTTCCATGGTAGGGGAATTCCAGCACATTACAGTGGTACCTTGGTTTACGAATTTAATTTGTTTTACGATTTGGGGGAACATGGCTGGATTTGTGTTTGTGTGAGGAAAATGGCTGTGGCTGTATTTGTTATCTGATGCGGAGTTTGTGAACAGAAGCAAAATTTTGCCCGGTGCTTCTTGTTCACGAACTGAACAGTGCAAACATACGCATTTGTGAACAGAAATATCAGGCACATTTATTGTGCACTTTATTTCTAATATTACATTGTGATATATAATGAAATAATTATACAACTCATCATAATGAACAATCAGTGAGAACCCTGAGGTCGTTTTTCTGCAACTAGACGGTCCCATATAGGGGTGATGGAAGCCAGTAACACCCCAAGTGTGTTGCTTATGTCCAGTCTACTCCATAATCTTCTTTTGGCTGCTGTCACTGCAAAAAATCCTGCTTCACGAAGATAGAATACTGGAAATGGAAGCGGGCTTTTCAGTGCTTTTGAGCCAATATCAGGGTATTTTGCCTTGACCTTAATTCAGAACAAAATTAATTAATTAACTCAGAACATAGAGAGATTTAAAGTTGTCTCAAACATACTTTTAAGGCCATCATTTGTGATCTCAAGCAGCTGATCCTCTTCTAGCATGGACAAAGTCCATTCACCTGGCTTACTAACAAATGGTTCACACACCCATTTCTTCTGAGTTCAGGGGTCTTTTTTTTTTTTTTTATTTTTGGTACCGGGAATTGAACTCGGGACCTTGCACTTATGAGGCAGGCAGTGGAACCACTGAGCTAAATCCCCAGCCCTCAGAGGTCTTTTTTAATCATGTTCCACAAAATGTTAAGTTCAGGTGTCATTTTTTGGCTAGCCAGCATTTCTCTATGGATAACACAGTGTGTAGACTCACATTCAGAAGTGACCTCTTTGACTCCAATAGTGAAATCAGAAACCCATCCAGTCATGGCAGCCGCTCTCTGTACCTATACTGACACGAAATGACCAATTCGGTTCTGGTGATATGTAATCAAAGACTTGAATGGTTCTGCAGCTGTGAAGCTGGCTAGCAACAAAAGTGCATAAAACATATCTTCATGTACGTCCTCCTGACAAATATATTGGACAAAAACTAGCACTGTTGTCTTGTCAACTTCACCAGACATGTCAGCTTGGCTTGTGCACCATGGTGACTCATTCATCCTAACAACTGTGCTTCAATGTCCTCTGCTACTTCATAAATTCATCTAGTTACAGTACTGGGTGAAAGAGGAACATGTGCCACCTTCTGAACTGCAGCCTCTCTTAAAAATTCAGGACAAATGTCCTTAGCAGCTGGCAAGATCAACTCTTCACCAATAGCAAAGGGTTTCTTAGCTTTAGCCACTAAGAATGGTGCTCTCAGTGTAGACACCTTTGATGAAGTGGTGGCCTTCAATAATTGCTTCTATTCTTTGTGTTCATCTTTTTTAAAACTCCAAAGCCTTGTCTTTCAATGCAGGGTGTTGGATCTCTATATGGCAAGGCATTTTTGAGGGTTTTATGGGTTTGATGGATAGCCCATCACAACATATTACACAAAGCAAGCTTGGAGAATGTAAATTATATGTTGCCATGAACCTGTAATTTAAGTAGGACTCACATTTTCCTTTCAATGCAGTTTTCTGTTTGTTGGCAATCTTGAAGTCTTCTGCTATCTTACTATTGGGTCTTTTCCTCTTTTTTGAAGAAGATTTCAAGTTTCTCTTTCATTCATTTTGGCTAGGGTTAGCTTGCAGGCTAAGACTGTGACTGAGACAAGTTTGCAGTTTGGGAAAGAGGTATGGATGAAAGCGGTAAATACTGAGTGGGTCACACGTAGACTAAAACAAGTGTTCTGACTTCAATCCTGTCATCAGATGCAGCTTAATTGCCATTTGCCACTCACTGATAGAGTTTTGATCTGACTCTCCAAGCAATTGATTTATTATGGTCTCTGTGCAGTCAAATCTCACTGCTAATGTTCATCTCAATGCTAGCATCACCGCCTCAGCTCCACCTGAGATCATCAGGCACCAGATTCTCATAAAGAGCAGGCAAACCTAGATCCCTCACATGTGCAGTTCATAGTAGGGTTCTTGCTCCCATGTGAATATAATGGTGCTGCTGGCAGGTGATGGAGCAATGAAAAGCAGCTACAAATACAGATGAAACTTCACTCTCTTGGCCACTCATCTGCTGTGTTCTGGGTTCCTCACAGGCCATGGTGTGGTACTGGTCCATGGCCCTGCAGGTTAGGGACTCCCTGATGTAAACAAACCCACTGACAGACCACTTAAGTCATAGTTATTAGGTTTCACAGCAAAACAAAAGATGTTTTTCTAAAACTTTCAGTTTCTTAAATGAGTTGTTCCTTTTTAAATTAATTTTATTGGTACATTTTAGGTATACAATATAATGACATTCATCATTGGAAATTTGCACCTTTACATAATTTCTCTTGGTTCTTATTTTCCCCCCTTCCCCTGCCCTCCCTTCAACCCCTCCATCCCTCCCTATTTACAAGACATTGTTTCCATTTTTTTCAGTTTCAAATGAATTGTTCTTGTATAAATTATCAACTTTATGATAACTTCATAACAAAAAAATATGACCCAAGCCTATGGGACAGGGTGGTATTTAACATTCAGCATCAGGAAACTTGGAGAAACAGCCATGGCTAAAAGAAAAAAAAAAAATCCTAATTTTTAAAGATCTACTTTGTCTTCTCAGTTAATTGTATCCTTTCTCACTAAAATCTTATAAGCCAGCCTTCAACTATTCATTCATTCATTCATTCATTCATTCATCCATCCATCCTCCTATCTATTAATTCAGTCACAAATTCAGTTCACAGGACACCTCTGATATACTAGTCTCAGGGCAGGGGAAGAGAGGCAAGATTTTGTGTCCTGCAATCTGGATTTGCAACTCATTCCACCACTTCAAAATACTGTGTATCGGGGCCAGGGATTTAGCTCAGTGGTTCCGCTGCCTGCCTCGCAAGCACAAGGTCCCAAGTTTGATCCCCAGTACCGCCCCCCCACACAAAATACTGTGTATCTAATACTCTAACCTGTGAAACAGCAAGTAAAAACTCCTCATAGGATTCTTTAGGGGATTAAAGGAGACAAATTCCTAGATAAAGTGAGTGCAATAAATGTCCTTTCCTTTCTCCTTCTCTCTGAAAATGAATAATTCAAGTAGCTCACTAAAGATACAAAGATTCCTGGTAAAGTAAAGAAAATGAATAATGCCGTAAGAGCCAAGGAGGAGAGCGCAGACTCCCAAGGAGCAGAGGTCACACCCATAAGAGGTGAAAGGAAGGTTTACAGGGGAGGAAGATATATACAAAACATTTGGAAGAGAGGCAGGATTGTGACTGGTGGAGACCAGAAAGAGAGCTCCTGAGCAGAAAGCTGTTAAGCCGTAAGAGAATCCTGGTTTAAAAGACTGTGTGGGATGATAGAGAAGACATGGCCAGCAAAGGCATTTGAGGAGAAGTAGTCTGAATAGAGGCAAACAGCCTGAGATCTGGGTTTCAATCCCACCTCTATCCCTTCAGAACTGTGTAGGCAGATTGCTGTAACCCTCAGAGTATCTGGTTCTTACTGGTGAAAGGATTCTATACCTGTTCTTTCAGACTTATTGTAAAGA